AAATATAATAGTACTGTCTGTTGTGCGTATCTATATAAATATAATAGTACTGTCTGTTGTATGTTATCTATATAAATATAATAGTACTGTCTGTTGTATGTTATCTATATAAATATAGTAGTACTGTCTGTTGTATGTTATTTATATAAATATAATAGTACTGTCTGTTGTACGTATCTATATAAATATAATAGTACTGTCTGTTGTATGTTATCTATATAAATATAATAGTACTGTCTGTTGTATGTTATTTATATAAATATAATAGTACTGTCTGTTGTATGTATCTATATAAATATATTAATACTGTCTGTTGTATGTTATCTATATAAATATAATAGTACTGTCTGTTGTATGTATCTATATAAATATAATAGTACTGTCTGTTGTATGTTATCTATATAAATATACATACACATTTTCAGTTTTGAGTTTTGCGGTTTTATGGTCGTTTTTTAGGATACTACTTCGCCCCCCTGTTGATGGATCTTCACAAAATTTGGTATAAAAGTTTGTTGGGTCCATGCGGAGATATTTGCAAAGTTGCGGTTTGTGTTTTGCAGTTTTTATGGGCGTTTTGACAATTACATACACGGGAAATAAGTTTTACATGTCATTAATCACGAATTTACATAACTTCCGTCCAGGGGACGGGTATTCCAGCTGGTACTAAATAACTGGCTGTTCAGGATAAAAGAAAAAACTGAGAACAACTTCGACGTGTTTACTGTGTCATCTTCAGGAGTGCGAGGTTTTGCATCATAATATAATTTACACGTTAAAGAATTTCACGCCATCTGCTGACAACATTTCCATCACGCCTATCATCCTTATTCAATTTACGTTTTTATCAATAGATTCACGTATATTCATACTTGTAACATTTTCAAGTTGTACTAAAATAGTAGTTTCCCATGGAATTTTTCCTAACATCTATTGAGACAAACAGCAGATGTAACCGTGATCTATAGAGACGAACAACATGTGTAACCATGATCTATAGAGACAAACAACAGATGTAACCGTGATCTATAGAGACGAACAACATGTGTAACCATGATCTATAGAGACAAACAACAGATGTAACCGTGATCTATAGAGACGAACAACGGATGTAACCGTGATCTATAGAGACGAACAACATGTGTAACCATGATCTATAGAGACAAACAGCAGATGTAACCGTGATCTATAGAGACGAACAACATGTGTAACCATGATCTATAGAGACTAACAACAGATGTAACCACGATCTATAGAGACGAACAACAGATGTAACCATGATCTATAGAGACAAACAGCAGATGTAACCGTGATCTATAGAGACGAACAACGGATGTAACCGTGATCTATAGAGACAAACAACAGATGTAACCGTGATCTATAGAGACAAACAGCAGATGTAACCACGATCTATAGAGACGAACAACAGATGTAACCATGATCTATAGAGACAAACAACAGATGTAACCGTGATCTATAGAGACGAACAACGGATGTAACCGTGATCTATAGAGACGAACAACAGATGTAACCGTGATCTATTGAGACGAACAACGGATGTAACCATGATCTATAGAAACTAACAACAGATGTAACCATGATCTATAGAGACAAACAGCAGATGTAATCGTGATCTATAGAGACGAACAACGGATGTAACCATGATCTATAGAAACTAACAACAGATGTAACCGTGATCTATAGAGACTAACAACATGTGTAACCATGATCTATAGAGACGAACAATGGATGTAACCATGATTTATAGAGACAAACAGCAGATGTAACCATGATCTATAGTAGACAAACAGCAGATGTAACCACGATCTATAGAGACGAACAACAGATGTAACCATGATCTATAGAGACAAACAACAGATGTAACCGTGATCTATAGAGACGAACAACGGATGTAACCGTGATCTATAGAGACGAACAACAGATGTAACCATGATCTATAGAGACAAACAGCAGATGTAACCATAATCTATAGAGACTAACAACACATGTAACCGTGATCTATAGAGACGAACAACAGATGTAAACATGATCTATAGAAACGAACAACACGTGTAACCATGATCTATAAAGACGAACAACAGATGTAACCATAATCTATAGAGACTAACAACACATGTAACCGTGATCTATAGAGACGAACAACAGATGTAAACATGATCTATAGAGACGAACAACAGATGTAACCATGATCTATAGAAACGAACAACACGTGTAACCATGATCTATAAAGACGAACAACATGTGCAACCATAATCTATTAAGACGAACAACATGTGTAACCATAACCTATAAAGACGAACTACAAATGTAACCGTGATTTATAGAGACAAACTACAGATGTAACCACGATCTATGTCTAAATACGTTCTGGAGAAGACACTACGATTACAGTTTATGGTGTTTACCCAAACGAAGAATGTCATTGTTTTGTATTAAACATCCATGGGCTTTTTGTGTCAGTTAATAATTAATTTATTTCAAAATTAAGTAGATGTTCGCACATCCAAGCCATAAACTTGATTAAGCCTGGTTCGGCTCGTCAAGTGAAGTGCAGGGTATATTATATAGGCTTTTACTAACTATTAAATACACACCAAGAGATGACGCAACTCAGATGCTAAACGAATGACTGTTACTCCACACGACGTGAAAAGAAACGTTTTGAATAAAAGATAAACTAGAGGGGTACTAATGGTGACTAACCCATCAATACCATGATAAACTAGAGTGGTACTAATGGTGACTAACCCATCAATTCCATGATAAACTAGAGTGGTACTAATGGTGACTAACCCATCAATTCCATGATAAACTAGAGGGGTACTAATGGTGACTAACCCATCAATTTCATGATAAACTAGAGGGGTACTAATGGTGACTAACCCACCAATACGATGATAAACTAGAGGGTTACTAATGCTGACTAAACCACCAATACGATGATAAACTAGAGGGGTACTAATGCTGACTAACCCACCAATACGATGATAAACTAGAGGGTTACTAATGGTGACTAACCCATCAATTCCATGATAAACTAGAGTGGTACTAATGGTGACTAACCCATCAATTCCATGATAAACTAGAGTGGTACTAATGGTGACTAACCCATCAATTCCATGATAAACTAGAGTGGTACTAATGGTGACTAACCCACCAATTCTATGATAAACTAGAGGGGTACTAATGGTGACTAACCCATCAATCCATGATAAACTAGAGGGTTACTAATGGTGACTAACCCACCAATACGATGATAAACTAGAGGGTTACTAATGGTGACTAACCCATCAATTCCATGATAAACTAGAGTGGTACTAATGGTGACTAATCTATCGATTCCATGATAAACTAGAAGGGTACTAATGGTGACTAATCTATTAATACGATGATAAACTAGAGGGGTACTAATGGTGACTAACCCATCAATTCCATGATAAACTAGAGGGGTACTAATGGTGACTAACCCATCAATTCCAAACTAGAGGGGTACTAATGGTGACTAACCCATCAATTCCATGATAAACTCTGCAGAACACATACGTCCCCACACCCACAGTTGATCGTGTATGGCTCTCAAAAAATACGAAAATGCGTCCGTATGTCCGTCCTTATCAACGGTCACGGACCATTTTTGACGGGGGCAATGAGGAATACTTTTCTACATTGTTGACAAACACACACACACACACGGGGTGTACAAATATAACCTCTGTCTACCTTCAGTGAAGGAAGAAATAAACACTTCTTAATTAGTTTCTAAAAGTTAATAAGGAATAAATAAACACATCTAAATAAAATATTTAAAAACACGGTTTGTATTTCGTCTGCCCGAAACGTGCCCAAAAGAAAACAGAATAAAATATGGTAACAGATATTAAATACGGGCAAAAACCCGAATGAGGCAGACCTTAACAAAAACAACGTTGAAATCGAAACGTTGTTCTATTATTCTCAAAATTTTCAGCTGGTGTTTTCTTCATTAATATCTGTTGATAATATCACCTTAACTATATCATTGTTTGAAAATTAAATTAATTCAAACGTTTCCATGATTTGAAATCTCACCTTCTCTGAAACTGTACAACCGGGTCCCGCAAGATGTCGCCACAGTCGATAGTTTTACCCTTTTTAATGACGTCTGGATGTTTTTTTTTCAACAGCCAACCCATGTGTGCGAAGAAGAATCCTCTGTTAACATTATGAGGATCTGCATCCGTTTCGGAAAACTTGTGGTGCACTCGATGGTCCCTTGACCACTCGTAGATGTCGTTCTGGATGAAACGAAACTGTTTATTACAAGTTTTGACAAAATAAAAACTACAGAATATTGTAATAGATAAAATAGATCAGCTAAATGTGGAGAAAGAAGCAAGCATTACATCTATTATACAATAGGATCATGAGTAATGTAGTAATCCTAAGAAGTACGGAGTGAATGAAATGAATATACAATGCCGACAAGGTTTTTCATTCTGCACCACGAATCGTATATATATATATATATTTAAATGTAGTAACAATGCTTTATTCTTACTGATCAGTTTTCATGGTCAGGGCGTGACCCAATGGTTAACGTGTCCAGACTGTGAACATGAGTGTTCATGGTTCGCGCTCCGTACTTTGTGGACATGGGTGTGCTAAAAGAGAGACGGTCAAATCCCAAGTCCTGCCCGTCAGAACACAGGAATTGGCTGTAGGTATAGTGGACTAGTTAACTTCTTTCTAGCCTATAAATCCAAAATTTAGAACTAATATTCGCAGATAGCTCTAAGTAGCGCGAAATATCCTAAAATATACGAAGAAAAATCAGTTATTATTAATAGTCTCTGGATATGACGTTAGAAACACGTTATTTTATTTGTTGGCCAAATAACAACGGATTAAATGTTTTCTAAAAAAAATTTCAATTAGCGATAAGGGGCCGTGTAGGTCAAGTTTTCCATTAAACGTGTACGTGAACCTTCATATTATTACGATGTACTAAAGTCCAACTTCGTAAAAGACTCCAGTTAGCATCCGCAGTTATAGGAGCGAAGGTGACCTTTAAAAAAAGTAGTTTGTTATTATAGAGCAAATCAATAAAGTCAAGTTTTTATGGGTGTCCTGATATATTGGTTTTCTTTTAAAGGTAGGACGAGGGTTGCTAGTTTCGCTAAGCTGGGTGTAAACTACGTACTGCTGCTCATTTCCTATTTTCAACCCCATAAACCTGTCAGTTATATAGTTACTAGGAAACAGTGACCTCTAGTGGTGCTGAACATTTCCTGGTCTACGGCGCTGATATAGCTCAATGCATTGATTTCTCTGACAGGGAAAATCTAGTTTTTAAACTAATTTTTAAGACAAATTTCTGGAAATAAATTTAAAATTGTGTTTACTCTACTGATCATATAAATGTATAATTGTGTTCACTCTACTGATCACATAAATGTAAAATTGTGTTTACTCTACTGATCAGATAAATGTATAATTGTGTTCACTCTACTGATCACATAAATGTAAAATTGTGTTTACTCTACTGATCAGATAAATGTATAATTGGGTTTACTCTACTTATCACATAAATGTAATATTGTGTTTACTCTACTGATCAGATAAATGTATAATTGTGTTTACTCTACTGATCAGATAAATGTAAAATTGTGTTTACTCTACTTATCACACAATTGTAATATTGTGTTTACTCTACTGATCAGATAAATGTAAAATTGTGTTTACTCTACTGATCAGATAAATGTAATATTGTGTTTACTCTACTTATCACATAAATGTAATATTGTGTTTACTCTACTGATCAGATAAATGTATAATTGTTTTACTCTACTGATCAGATAAATGTATAATTGTGTCTACTCTACTGATCAGATAAATGTAATATTGTGTTTACTCTACTTATCACATAAATGAATAATTGTGTTTACTCTACTGATCAGATAAATGTAATATTGTGTTTACTCTGCTGATCAGATAAATGTATAATTGTATTTACTTTACTGATCACATAAATGTAATATTGTGTTTACTCTACTGATCACATAAATGTAAAATTGTGTTTACTCTACTGATCACATAAATGTAAAATTGTGTTTACTCTACTTCCTCATCCAGTTTCTGTTATTTTACTATCTGGATGGTTTGGCTACAATATTTTATACTTATCTTCAAAATTAAGTAACTTGTATAATGCCACAAGAAGGCGTTCAAGGGGGGAGGGGATATATTCTGGGGCCAATGACACCGGCACCCAAGTGGTCTAGTGGATAGTGTGCCGGATTGTGGAGCTTAAGTTACGTGTCTTGCGTCGCGTTACTGAACCGTGAGGCTATCCCTTGATTTGGTTTTACAAGAGTATATGAAACGGTGGCGGTGGGTAGTGTTGACTAGCTGCCTTATCTCCAGTCTAGGGACGGATAACGCAGGTGGTGCTAGAATAGCTTCGATCAAAATTCAAGAAAAAAGCAAACAAAACTTTTAAAAGTTCTTATTGTACACTAAAAAGGAGTAAACATTATCTAAAGAGTGAGTTCACACCCAAATAACTGTTGGCTCTTTTAAAAGTTCTTATTGTACACTAAAAAGGAGTAAGTATTATCTAAAGAGTGAGTTCACACCCAAATAACTGTTGGCTATTTTAAAAGATCTTATTGACACTAAAAAAGAGTAAGTATTATCTAAAGAGTGAGTTCACACCCAAATAACTGTTGGCTACTTTTAAAATTTTAGTGTACAATAAGAAGGAGTAAACATTATCTAAAGAGTGTCTGATTTTAAACAGATCTTTAAGATTAAAGGGACAATAAAATGAAATATTGAATGTGGAAGACACTGTCTGAAATATATATATAAACGTTTCTCTCATGCCAGAATTATTAACATTTCTTACTTGATAAGCTACACAGTTACAAAAGTGCAGGAATAGATAACACCAAATACTTGTATCATTTTACTTCTTTGACAAGCTTTGCAGTTGACAAGAACTAAACTTAATCTTTAAACAACTGATTTCTTAACCTTCTCACCTGTAGTACGATAAAATCAGTGTTTCCATGTGAACAATAATTTTATTTGTATAAAATGTCTTGGTAAACGTTGGCGTCGTGATGTTTATTGAAAATGTGCACAAGAGCTATCAGTATGATGTATCATAATGTTAACCGCCTTACTCTGCTCACCTGGCCAGCTATACAGTTACAAAAGGCTAAGAAGAGCCTGAGAGACCATTTTGCCTTATATGTTCGATGAGACCATAATCGGTGAGCTCCTGCAGTTACTCCTAAGCCTGACAAAAGCCCATAGAACAAACCTAAAAAACGAAAAAAAATATAATCATCATTTCATTCCACGTTTAAAGTATTACTTTATATTAGTGTAGATGTAAAACCATTAAAGTTCATGTACTTCCATCAAATATGTAACTGGTAGACTCTATATAATTACACTGTCTGTACGGGCGGTTTATAAGACAGATATTATATAGCCGGTAGACTCTATATAATTACATTGTCTGTACTGACGGTTTATAAAACAGATATTATATAGCCGGTAGACTTTATATAATTACATTGTCTGTAGGGGCGGTTTATGATACAGATATTATAAAGCCGGTAAACTCTATATAATTACATTATCTGTACTGACTGTTTATAAAACAGATATTATATAGCCGGTAGACTCTATATAATTACATTGTATGTACTGAGGTTTATAAAACAGATATTATAGAGCCGGTAAACTCTATATAATTACATTGTCTGTACTGACGGTTTATGATACAGATATTATATAGGCGGTAAACTCTATATAATTACATTTCTGTACTGGCGGTTTATAAGACAGATATTATATAGCCGGTAGACTCTATATAATTACATTGTCTTTACTGGCGGTTTATGATACAGATATTATATAGTCGGTAGATTCTATATAATTACATTGTATGTACTGGCGGTTCATAAAACAGATATCATAAAGCCGGTTGACTCTATATAATTACATTGTCTGTACTGACGGTTTATAATACAGATATCATAGACCCGGTAGACTCTATATAATTACATTGTCTGTACTGGTGGTTTATAAAACAGATATCATAGACCCGGTAGACTCTATATAATTACATTGTCTGTACTGACGGTTTATAAAACAGATATTATAAAGCCGGTAGATTCTGTATAATTACATTGTCTGTACTGACGGTTTATAAAACAGATATTATATAGCCTGTTAACTATATAATTACATTGTCTGTACTGGCGGTTCATAAAACAGATATTATATAGCCGGTAGATTCTATATAATTACATTGTCTGTACTGACGGTTTATGATACAGATATTATATAGCTGGTAAACTCTATATAATTACATTGTCTGTACTTGTGGTTTATAAAACAGATACTATATAGCCGGTAGACTCTATATAATTACATTGTCTGTACTGACGGTTTATAAACAGATATTATATAGCCGGAAGACTCTATATAATTACATTGTCTGTACTGGCGGTTTATAATACAGATACTATATAGCCTGTAGACTCCATATAATTACATTGTCTGTACTGGCGGTTTATAAAACAGATATCATAGACCCGGTAAACTCTATATAATTACATTGTCTGTACTGACGGTTTATAAACAGATATTATATAGCCGGTAGACTCTATATAATTACATTGTCTGTAGTGGCGGTTTATAATACAGATACTATTAGCCGGTAGACTCTATATAATTACATTGTCTGTACTGACGGTTCATAAAACAGATACTATATAGCCGGTAGACTCTATATAATTACATTGTCTGTACTGACGGTTTATAAAACAGATCTCATAAAGCCGGTAGACTCTATATAATTACATTGTCTGTACTGGCGGTTTATAAAACAGATAGCCGGTAGATTCTATATAATTATATTGTATGTACTGGCGGTTCATAAAACCCATATTACATAGCCGGTAAACTCTATATAATTACATTGTCTGTACTGGCGGTTTATAATACAGATATTATATAGCCGTTAAACTCTATATAATTATATTGTATGTACTTGTGGTTTATAAAACAGATATTATATAGCCGGTAGACTCTATAGAATTACATTGTCTGTACTTACGGTTCATAACACAGATATTATATAGCCGGTAGACTCTATATAAGTACATTGTCTGTACTGGCGGTTCATAAAACAGATATTATATAGCCGGTAGACTCTATATAATTACATCGTCTGTACTGGCTATTTATAAAACAGATATCATAAAGCCGGTAGACTCTATATAATTAAATTGTCTGTACTGACGGTTTATAAACAGATATTATATAGCCGGTAGGCTCTATATAATTCATTGTCTGTACTGGCGGTTTATAAAACAGATATCATAGACCCGGTAAACTCTATATAATTACATTGTCTGTACTGACGGTTTATAAACAGATATTATATAGCCGGTAGTTTCTATATAATTACATTGTCTGTATTGGCGGTTTATAAAACAGATAGCCGGTAAACTCTATATAATTACATCGTCTGTACTGGCTGTTTATAAAACAGATATTATATAGTCGGTAGATTCTATATAATTACATTGTATGTACTTGTTGTTTATAAAACAGATATTATATAGCGGGTAGATTCTATATAATTACATTGTCTGTACTGGCGGTTTATGATACAGATATTATATAGTCGGTAGATTCTATATAATTACATTGTATGTACTGGCGGTTCATAAAACAGATATTATATAGCCGGTAGATTCTATATGATTACATTGTATGTACTGGCGGTTTATAAAACAGATATTATATAGCCGGTAGATTCTATATGATTACATTGTATGTACTGGCGGTTTATAAAACAGATATCATGAAGCCGGTAGACTCTATATAATTACATTGTCTGTACTGACGGTTTATGATACATATATTATATAGCCGGTAGACTCTATATAATTACATTGTCTGTACTGGCGGTTTATAAAACAGATATTATATAGCCGGTAGATTCTATATGATTACATTGTATGTACTGGTGGTTTATAAAACAGATATTATAAAGCTGGTAGATTCTATATAATTACATTGTCTGTACTTGTGGTTTATAAAACAGATATCATGAAGCCGGTAGATTCTATATAATTACATTGTCTGTACTGACGGTTTATGATACATATATTATATAGCTGGTAAACTCTATATAATTACATAATCTGTACTTGTGGTTTATAAAACAGATACTATATAGCCGGTAGATTCTATATAATTACATTTTCTGTACTGACGGTTCATAAAACAGATATTATAAAGCCGGTAGATTCTATATAATTACATTGTATGTACTTGTGGTTTATAAACAGATATTATATAGCCGGTAGACTCTATATAATTACATTGTCTGTACTGGCGGTTTATAAAACAGATATTATAAAGTTGGTAGATTCTATATAATTACATTGTCTGTACTGACGGTTTATGATACATATATTATATAGCCGGTAGACTCTATATAATTACATTGTCTGTACTGGCGGTTTATAAAACAGATAACTCTACAACTACTTTATCACCAACGTCAGTTTAAACCTAAATCAACTCTCTATGTTTCTGGGCAGTGCACCTTGTCATCACTTCTAATTCTAGTTTATACGATGTTATGATTACCCATTGATGTTAGTTTTTTCACAGAAACTTGGTGTTCCTTTAAAAACTTAAGAAGAGAGTGAAAGATGAGCATTAGATGACTGTAACATGTAGATACTCAATGCTTTGTACACTATACATTTAGTGTCTTTAGGGAGCGAACCTCTATATTATGTACAGAGTGAAGGAGGAAAAATAAACAATATACATAATATTACATTTTATTACACACATTCGTAGAATACACTAACTTCATAATGTTAAATTTTATTACACACATTAGTAGAATACACTAACTACATAATATTAAATTTTATTTCACACATTCGTAGAATACACTAACAACACAATATCAAATTCCATTACACACATTCGTAGAATACATTAACTTCATAATATTAAATTTTATTACACACATTAGTAGAATACATTAACTTCATGATATTAGATTTTATTACACACATTAGTAGAATACATTAACTTCATGATATTAAATTTTATTACACACATTAGTAGAATACACTAACTTCATAATATTAAATTTCATTACACACATTCGTAGAATACATTAACAACACAATATCAAATTCCATTACACACATTAGTAGAATACACTAACCACATAATATTAAATTTCATTACACACATTCGTAGAATACATTAACTTCATGATATTAAATTTTATTACACACATTAGTAGAATACATTAACTTCATGATATTAAATTTTATTACACACATTAGTAGAATACATTAACTTCATGATATTAAATTTCATTACACACATTAGTAGAATACATTAACTTCATGATATTAAATTTTATTACACACATCCGTAGAATACATTAACTTCATGATATTAAATTTTATTTCACACATTCGTAGAATACACTAACAACACAATATCAAATTCCATTACACACATTAGTAGAATACACTAACCACATAATATTAAATTTCATTACACACATTCGTAGAATACATTAACTTCATAATATTACATTTTATTACACACATTAGTAGAATACACTAACTACATAATATTACATTTTATTACACACATTAGTAGAATACACTAACTACATAATATTAAATTTTATTACACACATTCGTAGAATACACTAACTACATAATATTAAATTTTATTACACACATTCGTAGAATACACTAACTTCATAATATTAAATTTTATTACACACATTAGTAGAATACACTAACATCACAATATTAAATTTTATTACACACATTAGTAGAATACACTAACTACATAATATTACATTTTATTACACACATTAGTAGAATACACTAACTTTCAGTCAGAGGAAGAAAGGTTACAAAAAACAAGTAGTAAAAACACATTTTCTGTAAAATGATGTAGGAATGACAGAAAGGATTTAAACAATAAATGATAAATAACAATAATGTAAGGATGATACTGTTATACACAGATCATCCCTACATGACTTTCAATATTCAAATTTACACAAAACATCTTCACCACGTAAAGTTTAAACTAGCCATCTTCAACATCTAAGGTTCACATCAGCCGTCTTCAAAATTATACCAGCCATCTTTAATACCTATAGTTTACACCCGTCATCTCAGCTTCACACTAAAGATCTTAGTTGGAAGTAGTTTTGGTTTTGTTACCCAGTATTAGCTGGTACTGCTTTAGACTGCATGTTTCTAAAATGGTTTAGGTTTTGTTACCTAGTATTAGCTGGTACTGCTTGAGACTACATGTTTCTAAAATGGTTTAGGTTTTGTTACCCAGTATTAGCTGGTACTGCTTTAGACTACATGTCTATATTCATGGTTTAGGTTTTATTTCTCAGTGTCAGTTGGATTCTGCTTGATATTACGTGTCTCTACACATGGTTTAGGTTTTGTTATCCAGTGCCAGTTGAATTCTGCTTGATATTACGTGTCTCTACACATGGTTTAGGTTTTGTTATCCAGTGTCAGCTGATACTGCTGTAGACTACATGTCTATATTCATGGTTTAGGTTTTATTTCCCAGTGTCAGTTGGATTCTGCTTGATATTACGTTTCTCTACACATGGTTTAGGTTTTGTTATCCAGTGTCAGTTGGATTCTGCTTGAGATTACGTGTTTCTACACATGGTTTAGGTTTTGTTATCCAGTGTCAGCTGATACTGCTGTAGACTACATGTCTATATTCATGGTTTAGGTTTTATTTCCCAGTGTCAGTTGGATTCTGCTTGATATTACGTGTCTCTACACAAGGTTTAGGTTTTGTTATCCAGTGTCAGCTCATGGACTTTAACAGACACTCTACCGTTAGGCACAGTAAATCTGATGCAGATTTTACGTAATGATTTCTGCAGATTTACAACGCTAGAAACCGTGTTTCGATACCTGTCGTGGACAGAGCAGAGAAAGCTTATTGTGTAACTTTGTGCTGAACAAGAAACAAACTTAATGGTTTTATTTAAACTCCATATTAGAATGTACTTGGAGAACGCGACGAAATGACTGTATTTGGTTTTAAATAATTGTATTCACTGCAAGTTATATACAATAGAAAGAAGTTGGTTGTGGAAAAAAAATGTACATATCATAAAACAGTTTGGTACATACCAAAAAGCCACAATCCCAGGGGTAATTCGAAAATGGCTATCCGAGCTCCAAATATTGCTATTATATGCAGAATTCCAAAAATGATAACGTTTCTCCAAACAATAGGCAAAGTATTTGAGGTTACTTTCGTCTTTGTCAGTGGAATCATAGCACCAGCTGTAACAGAAGTTTGACGAGGCGCCATCTGTCAGGTTTTTATCCTGTTAAACAATAGAGACCGTGGATTTTACTTCATTCATCTCATACTAACTGCTGTAGAACAATAAAAAGTGGGGCATCTTAAAGTGACTGATTTTGTCCTTATTTAACAATAACACGTGTTTCTATAGACTTGATGTTGTCTTGTTTAACAATAAACACAACCTACAACTGATGTCACTTCAATATAGAACATACAACTGATGTCACTTCAATACACAACCTATAACTGATGTCACTTTAATATAGAACATACAACTTATGTCACTTCACTACACAACATACAACTGATGTCACTTCATTGTAGAACCTACAACTGGTGTCACTTCACTACACAACCTACAACTGATGTCACTTTAATATAGAACATACAACTGATGTCACTTCAATACACAACCTATAACTGATGTCACTTCATTGTAGAACCTACGACTTATGTCAGTTGTAGGTTGTTTACTGAAGTGACACCAGTTGTAGGTTCTACATTGAAGTGACATCAGTTGTATGTTGTGTAGTGAAGTGATGTCACTTCAGTACACAACCTACAACTGATGTCACTCTTATACACAACCTACAACTGATGTCACTTCAATACACAACCTATAACTTATGTCACTTCAATGTAGAACCTACAACGGATGTCACTTCAGTAAACAACCTACAACTGATGTCACTTCAGTACACAACCTACAACTGATGTCACTCTAATACACAACTTACAACTGATGTCACTTCAATACACAACCTATAACTGATGTCACTTCAATGTAGAACCTACAACTGATGTCACTTCAGTACACAACATACAACTGATATCACTTCAGTAAACAACATACAACTGATATCATTTCAATTGAACAATAAACTGAAGAACTTCAAACCCAATATCTTAACAAGTGAGTCACATGATGTCTCATATGAACGTATAAAACACGGTGTGAGATTTTTAAATTACAATATTACAGGAGGTTATATACACACAGAGACTACACACATTGGTATAACTAAACAAACTAGTTTGACTATTAGGGTAAAGGGTAAGAGAAACAAAATATAGAGTAGTGAATTAACTTATATCCAATATGTAGAGGTAGGACCTGACAACATTATGTTCTGTATAAATGTAAGATGAAAACAGTGGACATCATTAATCCGGGATGAAGAGTAAGTCACTGACAGTATCATGTTCTATATAAATGTAAGATAAAAACAGTGGACATCATTTATCCGGGATGGAGTAGGAGTCACTGACAGTATCATGTTCTATATAAATGTAAGATAAAAACAGTGGACATCATTTATCCAGGATGGAGTAGGAGTCGCTGACAGTATCATGTTCTATATAAATGTAAGATGAAAACAGTGGACATCATTTATCCAGGATGGAGTAGGAGTCACTGACAGTATCATGTTCTATATAAATGTAAGATAAAAACAGTGGACATTATTTATCCAGGATGGAGTAGGAGCCACTGACAGTATCATGTTCTATATAAATGTAAGATAAAAACTGACTGCATTCCTGTCCTGCCAAAATACGTACAGTATGTATGTTTCTTATCGTGCTGCTAACAATGCATTATCACTCTAATACACTCTAATAAATAAAATACAAAATGTCCTTCAACAAAACTATTGTAACGTATAATATAACAATACTTATAGTGAGCTCAAAACGAAAGCATTGAATTATTATTATTTCACTTCATTAATTATTTCAATTTTTCAGAATGTATAAAACTAATTTGATAACTTTAAAAGTACACAGATATGTTGTGTAGAGTAATCTGACATTTTTGGAAGAACTGGAGATTAACTGTTTATATTTTTTTCAGGCAGCAGCTGTTGTAGTACATCGTCATGGATACTGTAGCGTCACAATTCCATAAACAATATTTGTTTATTTCATTCACGTGGTTTGTAAGACTGTTGATGTAACGTCTGTCATTAATAACAGAGTCATGATTTAGAAGTGTTTGTCTGATAGCGTCACAATTCCATAAACAATGTTTGTTTATTTCATTCACGTGGTTTGTAAGACTGTTTATGTAACGTCTGTCTTTAATAACAGAGTCATGATTTAGAAGTGTTTGTCACTGCTAATAAATACTGATACATTTTAAGGTACCTGATGATGATATAATCTTGTCGAAACGTTGTACATACACAATAAAGTTTTCTGCATTACCAATCAAACCGTCTCCAAACTTATATTTTATGAAAGATGAGTCATCAAATCAAAACTCTTATTTCGAAACAGCTGTAAGCAACGAACAATAAATCCTTCAAATCAAAACAATAAATCAGTTATTGTGATGTATCACTATAAAGTATTATGATGTATCATGTATACTATTATGATGTATCACTATAAAGTATTATGATGTATCACTATAAAGTATTATGATGTATCATGTATACTATTATGATGTATCACTATAAAGTATTATGATGTATCACTATAAAGTATTATGATGTATCACTATAAAGTATTATGATGTATCATGTATACTATTATGATGTATCACTATAAAGTATTATGATGTACCATATAAACTATTATGATGTATCATGTATACTATTATGATGTATCATGTATACTATTATGATGTATCATGTATAATATTAAGATGTATCATGTATACTATTATGATGTATCAGGTATAATATTAAGATGTATCATGTATACTATTATGATGTATCATGTATACTATTATATACTATTATCATATAAAGTCTAAAGATTTTGACTTCCTTATACGTCAAGAAGTTAAGGAACTGAAGAGAAACATTAGTTCGGTTTCAGCCATATTTGATGATTAAAAGATCAATGGACTTAAGTTCTGAGTTGATACATAACACAGATTTCTCAATCTCACGCACAAGGTCTTTGACCCTGAATAAACGTAAAATATGTTGGTTAATTCATGGGTGAAGGGTGGGTGTGACCAACTCTGACCTACATGCTGGTGCTACAGACGCGGGCTAAAGAAAAAATCAAACCGGATTCAATTATCTATACTTCCGGTCAGTGATGTAAGGTTTATTATATACTTCCGGTAAGTGCTGTAAGGTTTATTATATACTTCTGGAAACTTGATTTTACTACTTTCATTATTTAACACAGAACTAACTTTATAAAAATCTCTTAATTAAAACATTAAAAACAAAGTTGTTCATGTAATTAGACGGGGTAAACTTTCTGGTTCGTATGACATAAATATAGAACTTCTAAGTGAACCACACAGTGACCAGTTTATACATAGTTAACTAGAACAAGTAGGTTGATATGAAAAATTGATCTAAACTCTATGTTAATCCCTTGATTCCTGACTTTTATTAGAAGTCAGTGTTGAAGATAACATAGCTTTGACCGATCTAAACTCTATGTTAGTGTTTTCATTCCTGAGCTTTATTACAAGTTAGTGTTGAAGATAACATAGCTTTGACCGATCTAAACTCTATGTTAATCCCTTGATTTCTTACGTTTATTACAAGTTAGTGTTGAAGATAACATAGCTTTGACCGATCTAAACTCTATGTTAGTGTTTTAATTCCTGAGTTTTATTCAAGTTAGTGTTGAATATAACATAGCTTTGACCGATCTAAACTCTATGTTAGTGTTTTAATTCCTGAGTTTTATTAGAGTCAGTGTTGAATATAACATAGCTTTGACCGATCTAAACTCTATATTAGTGTTTTAATTCCTCAGTTTTATTAGAAGTCAGTGTTGAAGATAACATAGCTTTGACCGATCTAAACTCTATGTTAGTGTCTTGATTCTTGAGTTTTATTACAAGTTAGTGTTGAAGATAACATAGCTTTGACCGATCTAAACTCTATGTTAGTGTCTTGATTCTTGAGTTTTATTACAAGTTAGTGTTGAATATAACATAGCTTTGACCGATCTAAACTCTATGTTAGTGTCTTGATTCCTGAGTTTTATTACAAGTTAGTGTTAAGGATCACATAGTTTTGATGGATATCAGTCATCGATAAGAAAGACTAACACAAGTATTTAAACTTGTGTAAATGGTTAGTACTGAAAATAAGAGAATATCATAGCTAGTATACAATTGTTTGTTTATAGTATAAGGTAGAGATTTCTATAAAATTAGTATAAGGTAAAATTTAAGCCTATTTTAGTTCAGTTTATGACACAAGTTTAACATGTATTAAGATTCTCCAGCTGGGGATCCTGGACAGTGTTTCTTTCAGCTCACTCTAGTAAATTTTGTTTGTGACACAAGCTTAACATGTAGTAAGTTTCTCCTTCAGTCTTCGACTTTGTGTCAGAGGATCCGCTCTGAGATTGATTCCTGACTCCGATAATTAAAACGATTTCTTCTTGTGTTTAAGAGCTAGTTTGTAATTATTATCAATTTGTACAGTTCAATTAAAGTTATAATCTTGATTTTAACAACAACAAGTAAAACAATAATTATTATGAAGCTTTTTTCCGAAAACATCGACACTTCGATTACAACAACGGTCACACCATATGATAAGGAAGATATATATTGTCTGTTTAAAGTCAGAAAAAATAAGATAAGCTATCTTTTATATTTTCCTATTCAAATACGATATTTCTTTATCCTGATAACTTGGTTAGAAGTATACTTTTAGATTTAGTATCAAATTTTAATAAAACGTTTTTTAAATGATATAAAAACTGCTGTAATTTTTGATAAAATTTATTTTGGTTCAGATCAGTAAATCATATTTCAGTTTACGTTTCTTAGTTTTTTTGACTTAAGCTCAAATGTTTGGAATATTAACTTGAATTAATTCAATTCATAATTTACGCTCTCACCGTTAGGAGGCAAGTGTAGTTGGACTGGTCTTCAGGGGTAAAAGAGCTCCATGTTTACAGTCCGTACAAAAATAGTTATGGCCTGAGGTATGAGTATCAGATTTACCTAGATCCTCTGGCGATACCACAGTGTTAGGTATTCAGTCAACATGATAACGTATTCAGTCAATCTG